TTATGGTTTTGCCTTTGGCTGTCTGCAAGTCACGTAACCTGTCTGCTTGTCCCTCCTAGCACAATGAAGAATAAAATGCATGGTTCTCTTTAAGCACTTGGAACTTTGCTTCTAGCATTTACGAAGGGATATGGGATCAGCCAGTTGGAGACAAGGTGGAAGAAATACAATGTGAAGATACAGGAAAGCTTTAGACAGAACTAATATGAAAAATACCCCTAAAACCTTTAAGCAAACCCAGAAATAAGTCTATAAAGCACTGGGAAATCTGGTGAGAGGAGGCCCAATTCTGATGTGCTGGTAGTTCAGAGCAACTTTGCTGCAGTTCCTGTATGTATGAGAAGGAACCACAAACACATTTGCAGCTGTGGTGTGCACTCATATCTTATAATTGTTTCCTGTTTTTCTCAAAAGGAAGGGTTTTGTTTTGGGGACTTTTTTGTGCACTTTGTTCCTTCTGATTCCTGGACCAGTCTCGTGCCGATTTTTTTTTTTTTTTTTTTTTTTTTAAATTTATGGCAAGGAGTTTTGCTGTCACAGCATTTAGCTGTGATGCCACTGCAGGATCTAAGGAGGTGGGAGGTGTTGGTAAGCGGTGGAGGAAGCTGCTGTGCAACTGCGAATACCTACAACAGAGCAAAAGGGCTGTAATGAACAAACTGCAGCATAAGCTATTGTTTGTGTAAGTGTTCTTTCTTCAGGCGTGCCGTGGCATGTGTCTTGCTCTAAAATTGCCAGTGGCAATCTCTGTGTACCGATGGGTTATCCTGCCTAAGAAGCAATAGAAAAATACGTTCTGACAAAGCAGTTTGTCTTGTGAAAGCTGTCCAGCCTTCACCAAAAAGCACCTCAGGCTTTTGGGTCTCCTGCCCAGCAGTTAATCAGTCTTAATATAACTAGTGATTTTGTAAGAGGCTGAGAGCTCTGGAAGTGAGCGAAAGGCAGTAGTGCATAAGTGGGCTTTAGACCTGGCTACGTGGCTGTTTGGGAGAGGGATATAACTTCTCTTCGTACTTTATGAGGGAAAGGACAAGATGAGTTGGCTGGAAAAACATTGAAAACCCCCTGCAAGTCTATCAAATTTGGTACAGTTGTGTGGGACTGCAAAACTCATTCTTCTGTGCCACCAGAAAAGAAGGCACAGCCACTACAAAAATCTGATTGCAGTCAGATGTTGCATTCGTGTTGTGTTCTGTGCATATTCATATAACCCCTCTCTGCCACAAACATCTTGTACCTGGTCTTTTCCTGACAGATTTGCTGCTTCTCAGTGTCCCACCAGCGCTGGAGAGTCAGCTCCCATAAGCTAATTTTCCTGCATGTACACCTCCACCTAGTCTGGCATTGTGCAGAATATTCTGGGCATGCAAAGTGACTGAATATGACTTTTCTTCTGTCTAGCTGTTTTGGTGCTGCTGCAGCTGGTCCAGCTGACCTGAGTGTAACCTTTCTGATGAGAAGGCCTTCAGTGGGAAATTGTCTCAGAACTGACTTAATTACATAATTTTATTTCCCCTTCTTTGGCTGTACTCAGCCTTCAGAATAACTTCGGTCACATGGAGGTGGAATAACTCATCAATTCAGATGAGGCTTTAGAAACCTAAATTTAGATTGGTGGAAGGGAATGCTTCAAGCTAGAATGTCGTGACTTTTTTTTATTGATCACTTTTAAATCTTTTGAGTTTGAATACTTCTAGACCCAAAGGCAAACTTCTAAACAGGTTTTTTAAATCTCTTTCCAGATTGGTCGGTCAACAGAGAGTCCTATAGACTTTGTCGTGACAGATACAGTTCCTGGAAGTCAGAGTAATTCAGATACACAGTCTGTGCAGAGCACTATATCAAGGTTTGCCTGCAGAATCATATGTGAACGTAACCCTCCTTTTACAGCAAGAATATATGCTGCAGGATTTGACTCCTCAAAAAACATCTTTCTTGGGGTAAGGGAACTCTTTTTTTCTTTTTTCCTCCAAGTTTAGTGCAGGCTTGTTTTTAAACTAGTCCGTAGCTCCACTTCAGCCAAACGAAAAGTTTTCATTGGTGTAATTTCTCTTAGGAGAAAGCTGCAAAGTGGAAGACATCAGATGGGCAAATGGATGGATTAACCACAAATGGAGTTCTTGTTATGCATCCTCGTAATGGATTTACAGAAGACTCCAAGCCAGGGGTGTGGAGAGAGATATCTGTGTGTGGGAATGTGTTCAGCCTCCGTGAAACCAGATCAGCTCAGCAGAGGGGAAAAATGGTGAGAAAGTAATGACCAATGTTTTATGTTTTACCTGTTTAAAACTGGTGCAACCATAAGTGGTAAAGCTTTGGCATAAACAGAGGCTGGAATCTGCCTCATTCGGTGTAGACGTCACCTCTGTAATTAGTTGCACTGACTTCTTGTGTCTCTGTCTTCGTACGTGAAGGTGCCTTGCTCAGCCTGAATAACTGACAGAGTTTATCTGCAAACTAGTACTTAATTGCAGATCTAAACTGCTCTCCTAAACTGAGTTGCCAGTCTACCATGCTGCAAACTGTCATAGTCCTGCACACATTTTAAAGAGTATTTTCCTGATTCTCCCTCTTGAGTTTATGCTTTTAAGGTTTTCCCACTTTTTCTTTCTTACGGAATAATAAAGAATAATTATAGTTTTATTGACACATGCCTGTATACCTGGATATCTATTTCCACCTTGGCATTCTGAGTTTTCCTCTTGTTTCCAAAGCATTGGTGACACTTCCAGGAGGTGATTGGTTTTGGTATGATTTGGGATCTCTTAGCAAAAAGAAATGCTACATGAACACTTATTTAAGTGATGCATTTAGCTAGGAATGCTAACAGCTGACTTTCTGGAGGAGAGAAAAGCCATGTATGAAGGTGTGTTTGAAGAAAACAGTCCAAAATGTGATGGAGGACTAAACAAGACTGGTCTTGTGCCATTGCTCCTTGAGGCATTTTGAGTAACATAGTTGGGAGTGCTATAGGGGTAGAGTTGAGAGATGTTGTTAAGGTTGGAGAGGAGCTTTTCAGACCTTTTTTTTTTTTTTAATGTACACTTAATCTCTTCTTAAGAAGGTTTTTTTCTGTAGGACAGTCAGGAGCTGCTTGAAACTTTTTGTCTGGATCTTCCAGGTGAATTTGTGTTGTCAAAGTGTGTTATGTTACTCTTCGGGTAACCTTAGGTGACACCTCTCTTTCTCTTTGTCCCTCACAAGGTTGAGAACGAAACAAACCAACTCCAGGACGGCTCTCTAATTGACCTGTGTGGAGCAACACTGCTGTGGCGCACTGCGGAGGGGCTTTCACGCACTCCTACTGTCAAGCACCTGGAGGCTCTAAGACAGGAAATAAATGCAGCAAGGCCCCAGTGTCCCGTGGGGTTTAACACCTTGGCGTTTCCCAGCATGAAGAGAAAAGATGTTGTAGACGAAAAGCAGCCGTGGGTATATCTGAACTGTGGCCATGTCCACGGCTATCACAACTGGGGAAACAAAGAGGAGAGAGACGGCAAGGATCGCGAGTGTCCCATGTGCCGCTCTGTTGGCCCCTACGTGCCCCTGTGGCTCGGGTGTGAAGCGGGATTTTATGTGGATGCAGGACCTCCAACTCATGCGTTCAGCCCATGCGGACACGTGTGCTCAGAAAAGACAACTGCATATTGGTCCCAAATTCCTCTTCCTCATGGTACTCACACTTTTCACGCAGCTTGTCCGTTCTGCGCGCATCAGCTGGCTGGTGAGCAAGGCTACATCAGACTCATTTTCCAAGGACCTCTTGACTAACACCTGTGTTACTGAGGACTGTAGTAATCCGATAAGCTAAGCGATGCTGATTTTTACACCAACTGTTTTTCATATTCTGGGCTTTGCTGGTTTGCATTAAGATGAAGAATTTTTGGGTTTTTGTTACAACAGCTAAATCCCTCTCTATTGAGAAAAAGTCTGGAAACTGAAGAAATGGGGGGAGAAAGGGGGGAACTCCTGCTTTTTTTTTTTTAGGTAACTACTCTGAAGAGGTGAAGGAAGTGTTGTAAAGTGAACTTCGATGCCTTCCGTTTAATGGTTTTGAATTATATGGCCACAGTGTTTGAAAGTTGTTTCATTCTTTTTGTATATGGAGGGTAAATAGTTCAAAGAACATTAGTTTACAGCTTGGATGCAAACATTGTAAAATATAACATGTATATTAACTCTTTTCTATTTATCTTTTATTACCGAAAATCCGTAGAACGATTAGAGAGTAGCATGGTCATAGTGTTACATCCAGCAATTGGATGTGTAGAGTAGTTCTGGGTGGAGAGGAAGGTGAGATGGAAATGGTAGAAAAATCTTTTTTTAATCTAAAATACTGAATTCTTAGAGTAGTTAAAATGCTTTTTAAACAAAGCTAATGCAAATTATGATGGCATGAAGGTGTGCTTTAACCATGTCAAAAGGTAGCTAAGAAGAACTTCTTAAAATGTCTTTTTGGTAGGACTGTACTTAAGATCTGGTTATGAGGAGACTATTTACCAGACTCTTTGAATATGCAACTTAGTCTAGATTAAGGAATTTTTCTCCCCTCAACACGTCTCTTTATTTAGCATTAGTGACATTTGTGAGGGTTTTTCCAATGTCAAACATTAACAAACCTGAAAGACGAGGCTCATTTTGTTCCTTGCTGTTTGGGGCAGGGGCGGGGAGGAGGGGGGGAGGTGAACACAGAGCAGGGAGCAATTTTGAATTGGCCACAGCCCCAGCTTGTGACAGGCTCATCAGGGGGATGATCTGCCTTTCTTCTGGCCCGTTGCAAACTGGCACACGGGAGCCAGGGGCTTCACGCGCTTGCCTTTACCCCGCTGTGAGGTGCAAGTACTCATCAAGGCTACACACGGAACAAAGTTGAAGCCTGGTACCCAAGGGATGCAGGCCCGAGTCCCAGCATCCCTGTGCAACTTGTTACAATCAGCAATCTGTTAGGGGAGAGCTTGAGCTGGGACTGGGCTGGACTCACAGACCTCGATGTGGGATGCGTGCGTAAGGTCTGCTCCCACTGCAGTGGGCTCTAGTGAGTAGTCTCTCTCTGCTCTCCCCCCCCACCCTTCCTCTCCCTCTGTATCCACCAGAAAAGGCCAGTGCACTACATCCAGCTTTGCTGCTAACCCACTGTGCTTCATGGCAAATACACAACCTGACCTTTTTAGGATTGAGTTGAGCTTTTTTTTTGGTCAGCTTCATACTTTCTTTTTTTTTCTAAAATACGTACTGTGTAATTGACAGTAGCAAATTTCTGTACTTTATAGCATAGCTTTAACTTTTTCCTTTCAGAGCTGTTCTAAAACTTTCTTGGTTTAAAGAGAGACCTATGTTGCTTAGATGTCATGAATTACTTGCTTTGACTGTCAATTGTTTCTCCATTTCTAAAAAGAAATTATATCTATTGTTGGTTCACTCAGGAAATGCATGTGTCAGGAAACCTGTATTATAAGTTCAGTTAGCTGTCATGTACAAGTAACTGCTGTTACTCCCTTTTCATAGGAAATATAACTGATTTTGACATTTTCCAGATTATATGCATTAAGTAATGGAACTAATGCAGCAAGAAATCCCTGTATTGTAGTTGTTCTAATCATTTTATTCAAACTATAGTATACTGTAGTTTAATTTTTATTTGAAAATTAATTTATTCAAACTACGTGAGTAAACACTTTTCAAAAATAGAAATTCTTGGATTGTCTCTTGCTTTGTTTCCAAGAGATGGGAAATGTGTCTGGAGGTGGCCCTTCTGCTGTGACCCAAGGTGTCTGTTCTGCACATGTGGGTTAAGATCACGAAAAAGAAGCAACTGTAAGGAGTTTGTGTGTTATCCTGGTCGTGGATTTGAATGGCTTCTTTCAGATGTGACCTCTCAGTGTATTTTATATTTAACCCCACATTAACAAAGGCAAGATTTGATGTTCAGATGATAAGAGTTAAATGATCTCTTCCCCAAATAAGTTATAAATAATGAAATGTAAGCAAAATCTTTAAATGGCTGGGCTCTTCTGTAATGTCAAGAGCTCTTGATCCCATCTTCCACAGAATCAGACTGACACTTCTTCTCTGGTCCTGATCTTGTCGACTGCGGGGATATGAAAAATCAGAAAAGGACATGGGGAAAGCTACAAAGCAGTATGAGTAATGTAAAGGTGAACTGTGAAAACAGATTGAGAACTGGATGGTAGCAGCCATATGGAAAGCAGCGTACTCGCCCTGTGTGGGAGGCGCAGCTGGGTGCTCATGTGGAGCCAGCAGTGCAGTTGGGTACCTGCATATCTGCCTAGAGAGTAGGAAGAGAGGTTCATGCCCAACACACAACCATTGTTACACCTCTACCCCATTAAGATGCTAATGTTATGCTTTCATTATACTTCTCCACCCCTGCCCACCTCACACCCCAAAAAAGGAAACAGAAGAAGGTGTAGTCTTAGCAAACTGGCTGTTTCTCCTTAGTGTTATGCTAAGATAACCCTTCACGGTCTGCCTTATGCTTTCTGCCTCTTGTATGCTTTTCTTGACCCAAGCTGGGTTTGTTAATCCCATTTTTAAAAGGACAGAACATGGGCGTTCAGACACCTGAGACATGGATATCCCACTGTCAGAAGCAGGATGGCACCGGTTGAGTAGTTTGAGGAACAATTTCCATACAAGATGCAAGCTAACTGAAAGTGGTAGCTTTGACTGTGGTTCCCGATTGGAGTCCCCCTGGGCTTCTGCTTTTTAATAAACAATTTAAATACAAGGTCTCGCGCTCTGTAAACTGTGAAATGAATGTTGGGTTAACAGTAAAGTGATCAGCTGACTGAAGCACTCTGGCCTTTGCTTCTGAACAAATTTGGGAGAAGTGCAAGAGGTTGCACCGTGCTGGCGTTGAGATGATTACAGCTCCACTTGTGTGCAGCCTAAAGCAGTGCCTTCTACTTGCAGAAGGACAGCCGCAAATGATATCTGCGGCTTTAACCTGCTTTCAAAGGTTTGCTCGAATGGAAAGAGGCATCAATGATGCAACCAGCAGATGGGACAGGACTATCCCCTGGGAGATCACTGCAGGTATGTGGAACTGAACACGTGGAAATGAGGCAAGTGTAGGCCCTTTTTCTAGCCTTAAAAGTTTTGTGAAGATCTACAGAAGTGCATCTGGAAATTGGCAGCTAGCTTTCTGCAGTTGATTTGTGCACGGCTGCTCTGTTCTGTGCCATTCTTTGTGTGATGGGTAATGCAGATGATTTAATGAACTGATTTGCTTTTCAGCTGTAGGAAATGGTGTGGCTTTAACACTGGTAAAAGGCAGCAGCTTGGCACAGCAGCTGGCTGATGAAGCCCTTTGTTTTGGTTTTTTCCTTCAAAGCAAAAGTGGGGCAGCTTGGTGTGTTGACTCACAGTGGGGCAGGAGCATGTTGACAGGGAGGTTGCTGGGGGCTTTCCCTGTAGAGGCAGTGGGTAGCCCAGTGCTGACGGAGTGCTCTGTTCCCTTCCCTGACTCAGCCATTGGCTTCAAGCAATACCGTGAGCGTGTGGTGTGGCTCTGAGATGCGTGGTGCAGGCTGGGGATGAGGTTTTCTAATCCCATCTGCAAGAATGAGGCTGGTATCTGGAAAGGTTTAGTGACATGATGAAGTCACCCCAGCAGTCCTCCTGTACTTGAAGGTGCTCTGCAAATCCCATAATGACCCTGCTGCGGCATGCTTGACCTCTTTCTAAAGAGACACTTTGCAGGCCCAATTCTAAAAATACATTCCCAATTTTGCAATATAAATCTATCATGATGACTACAGCTACCTACCTGCATGCTGCCTTTCAGCCTGGATTAGGCCTGGTTGTTTCTGAATTAGACCAGATTTCCTGGTCCTAGTCTTGGCTTGTGCAATCCCTGCTTCCTTTTCTGTAAAAACACTGGCAAAGCTTGTCTATTTTTAATTGTAGTACTTAGCTTTAACATAAGGGCTGTGATCGTCCTGGAAATGCAGCTTCTAAGGCTCGCTCATGGTTATGGGTGATCACTTGTACACGCGCTGTCATGCATCCTGTGAAAAAGATCTGGGAAAGCGTCTCTGCAGGAGTTGACTTGTGTCAGGGGCATTTTGGCAAGTGTGGTCTCTGCACAGGCAACAGCAAGCCTGCCCCTTCCCAGGTGCTGCTTCCAGGGCAGCAGCAACAGCTCAGGACCCTGTTTTATTTTTGCAGAGAACAGCATTGTGTCAAACTGTGCTGCTTGGATGCAGAATCCCATGGTAATGTACCCGGCAACACAAGTTGAGCTGGGGAAATGCTGATGTGTGCTATTGCACAAGACACAGCCAGCTGCTTCAGCTGTGTTGGGTGCTACGAGTTGTCTCTCTGGTCCTGTGTCCCTCCTGAAAGCAAAAATAGTGGCAGATTTGAAGAGCAGAAAAAGTGCTTTTATTCCCTCAAGCCTCAGCTGCCTCTGAAAGCATCCATCCCAAACAGCCTCCGGGCATCAGTGGCTTTGGCCGTGCCTGAGGCTGTGCATCAGTGTAGCATTAGGGAACAGCGTTAGCCATAAGCCCCAGTGCTTGAAACTTGATGTTCCTGCCGTGGTCCCCCCGCGAGAGCTGTTGCTCATCGTCCTCCTTCTCCCTCCAGCCCTGGCAGATACGAGCCTTTCTGCAGGTGACTGCAGAAGCAGACCCTGTTTGGCATCTGCTGGGGCTGCATCCCTTGAGGCTGAGCTCAAGGGAAGATGAAGTAACTGGAGGCAAAGTGCCAGCTCTGGCAGCCAGGAGCTCCCTGCCCACTCCCTGCCACTCATGATTTTGCTGCTAGCTTGCCCAGTTTTCTGTCCTCGTCCTACTGCCCCTCTTGCAGGGCTGGCAGGAGGGAATGAGAGCCAGTACCAACATCACCCTATCTTCTGACCTGTGAGGTTTGCCTGGCACTGCTGGCAAGGATGTGCTTGTGGCAGCAGCGACGGCACCAGCAAACACTCAGTTCTGCTGTCCCTGCTGAGGGCCCAGCGCTGCCATGCAAGGGCTTGAGACATCTTTCATCCTCTGTGTGGGCGCGAATGACTTGCGGATCAACTAGAGAAGCACTTTTCTGCTGGCAGAGGCAACTCCTTTGTACTTTGGCAACGCCTGCAATATTGTGATGTTTTTATTTTGAATGCTTTTGCTGATTAAGTGTTGCTAAACAGCTCTGAGGCAGGAGTAAATTATTAATCTGCTCTGACTTCCTTCCTCCACCCTGCCTATGTATGTATTAACAGCTCTGTACTGAGATCGCTACTGGAGGTCTGCTGTCTTTCAGAAATACAATGAGAGTAGAGTCCTTTAGAGTTACAGCTCACACCAGGGTTGTCTGGTTTTCCTCTTCCTAGTGGAAAGGGCTCGTTAAAAGGCTTCCCCTCCACAGCACTTGCACAGCACATGATGGACTCCTAAGGACATCCTCCTGCACGAAGCATGAGCAGCATGGTGAGGGTAGGTAGGAAATGATAGTTCACGTTTTCAGACAGTAGATGAAAGTGCAGTACCCAGCTAAATCACTTGGGGCGGGGAAAAGCTTCCTTGTGTATTCTTTACTAATAACTCCCAAGATCATCCTGTCTGCTTATTTATAGCTCATTGTCTTTGTCCTTGTATTTGTTTCTGCTTCAACCCCACCAAAAAAAAATTAAATCATATTCACTTTTCAGTAGTTTTATCTGACAGTTTCTCAGTCATGGTCACTGTGCTTATGATCATTTTTTTAAGTCTTTCTATTGAAATATGTGGCTTTTTATACATGAAACTATGTCGGCTGGACTCAGGCCCTGCAAAATGTGTTTTGAGGTTTTTTTTGGTCATCTGTTCTTCAGCCTAGACAGAGTTTCCCTTCAGTCTCTCCTGGAAAATGCTGGACACGTTGGCTAGTCAAGGATAAGGGAAGAGCAATGGCTTTCCTGGGCTCCTGGGAACCAGCCACATGAAGGATGAGTCTTGTGGTAAACCCAGCATTTCATCCCTGGACTGAGGGGATCCACTTCTTTCCCTGCATCACACTCAGATCCCCAGCATCTCCCACATCCCAGCCCTCTGACACCTTTAAAATAACTTTTTTAACACAACCGCCTTGCAAATGGGATCTACCTATGCTATTCCCTTTGGTTGGCCGCAACTTAGGAGCTGAATGAACACAAAGCCTTTAGTGCTTTCGTATCCTCTTCTCTCCAAAATAATATTTTTAGCTGATCCCAGAAGATTTGAAACAAAACAAATGCATGCAGTGGTATTCTAAACTTGCCTGGATGCAAAGCTAAAAACTGCAGCTTGCTGTCATGCGCTGTAGGAAAAGAATTGAGTCAACTCATCCTTTCCAAAAAACCCATGCTTTTTTTTTTTTCCTGTCATGTGGGAGGAGGAGAGAATTAGTTATTCAGTGGAACAAGGACAATTAAAAGCAAATGCAGCTTCCAGCAATGCCATCATCTGTTCTGTTAGCCCTGAGCAACACAAAGACAACCTGGCTTTTTAATTGGCCTCTCTTTTTCTCTCTGGCCTGTGCTTCCAGTTGGCACAGTGGCTGACATTTTCAAGTCTCTGTAGGACTGAGATGCAGGCATGCCCGCTTTTCATTTTGCCTGGGCAATCACCTAAAATGTGACTTTAAAGGGGATGAAAAGCTCCAAATTGCAGTGGATTGAGAGGTTGTGGTCTCGCCTGCCCAGCTTGCCTTTCTGTGG